CACAAAGGAAATGATCACCTACTAAAGAAGCTCAAAAAATTCTCCTTGTCAGTTCTATAGAAAACGTACAAAGGACAGTTTGGAGAATATGTATACTGATATTACTTTAAGGGTTAATCAAAACGTAACCGAAATAGGAATTTGCAGACTCGTGATAAAGAATATAATGCACACTGAATGAAGTTCAAAGCCAATTTTTGTAAATGAATGGCAGTTTTTAGAAGTAAGCAGCAATATCCTCTTCTTTTACAGCTTTTGTGCAAGAAATTTGAATACCCTGTCGGAGGTGACATCAACTATTCAGCTTTCATACAGTCCATTGACTCTGGTAAGTGAGAGAAATATGAGTTTTTTTTTCTTAATACTTGTTAAACTTAATCAGCAAGACATGTTAAACTTGTATTCAGGATTCCTCTTCGAATATGTGATATACCGAAAGAATTGTGTTTTCAACTAGAAAAGTCTACGTGCCCATCGATGTTTAGTTTTTAGAAGATGCAGGTGTCACAAACTCGGTGCGAGTGCTCCTGTATAATAATATCTGGTGCATGGGGTGGGTATTGAGGAAATCAACTGTTTTATTCCAGTCTGGAATTCAGGGTCTGGCCGAAATAAGTTTTTCCTCTTAGTGGAAATGGATAGCGCAAGTCCAATCTTCGCAAGAACGTGCTCATAAAATATTATAGCTCATCTTGCTTTGTCTATTGAAGAAACCGGCACTAAATCGCCTGCTTTTTGTTCATGTAGTAGGTATAGGTAGCTGGTCAAAGCAAAGATAGAGCCAGTTTTCACAACATCAGTATTAATACTTCTCAAAACTGACCTGTTTCATTCATAGATGGAACGCGGCCTAAAATTCATCTCCCTTGTACTCGCGGAGTAATTATTAATGAATGATAGTTTGAAGCACGCTCCGATTAAAACCTCTGCGTAACAATAAATGATACATTCATTCGTTCACTTAGAATGAAAGACGATTTCTTGATGAACCTTTGAATTTTCCTTCTCAGAGTACACCGGCACGGCGACCACCATTTCAGACTTTGCACACAAAGACAAGTAAGTTAAAGGGTTCTATACAGTTTTACAAGGAAATTCTCACTGCACCCTTAGCTTAACTTTGGGGAGGACGCGCTGGCCTAGTGACTAGTGCGCAAGACTCCGGATCGATAAATCTTTTTTCTATTTGTTGCAAGTTGCCTGATATTTTTTGTTGTTTTTTCGGCCTTTAATTTGTTGCGTAAGAAAACGCCTAAAGTGATCGCGTTTCGACTGTCTAGTGCCAGTCCTCTTTCAAATGATAAAGTTGATACAAGCATACTGTCACGTAAGCTCAAAGGATGTTGTTGAGGTCTACCAGTAATAGCTTAGAGTCTCATCCAGCTGGCGAAGCTCTGCTGTGTGAGCCACTTAAGTTGTAATAATTAACTTTTAAAAAAAGTGCTATAAATCTGTCCCGTTGATTTCCCTGTAGAACTCAGACTGAGAGCGAAGAACCTCAACCGTTAGATTTGAGCACAGTTGACAGACAGGAGTTGATTGATCGCATTAAACATTACGTGCTTGTCAACAGACTTAGGGTGAGTTGAGTGCAAAATCTGCCAGCTCCCTTGATATTTAGAGTTATTTTAATTTCAGCTTGTTTAAGAATTTACACCCATGAGTGAGAGACCTTTCATTCTGACAGTTAGATTTTTTGAACGCTCCATACGTTTCCCTCCTTCTGATTGGTTTAAGTGGGTCACATGACAACCATATAGATTTCCGCGGGGAGACTAGTGAGCAATAGGATTGGTTCAGAAAACTCTCGGATAATCGCCTATGCTCATGGGATCAAGTTGGATTGGATTAAGTATATTTCTGTTTTTAGCTACAAATCGCTACGTTATTGTCCAGTTTTTGCTCTCGAGATTAACCTGCACCTGCACATTTTACAGAAAGAATTGAGTTTATAATTATTTTTTTTGAACATGAAAGAACAACCAAAATGCCAAGAACTGCCTGATTCTTGAAAATTGAAACGAGGCTCGCTCTCTTTTTGCTAATCTGATGACCCCGTACACTGGCAAAACAAAATCTTACCAGACTATTGAATTTCTCCCTTCATTCCATATCTTCACGCTCAAAATGTTCCTGCCGCAAAAAATCACAAATAAATGATCAAACCACATCCAAAATAAAGCATTCAACTTTTTGCGACAAAAACAACACTCCCAGTGCTCTCTTATAAGCTATCAAGCCATTCATACCAGTCAAATAACACGATAATAATATTTTTACCTTAGACGTTAAATAATGGCTGGTCTCATATACTGATTTTTTTTTTTAAGGTGGAAGAGTTTTTCCAAGACTTTGACCCTTTGCGTCACGGTTCAATCAGCAGGCCTCAGTTCAGGCGTTGTTTAAGCTTAATGGGTCAACCCAACCTAACAGATGAGCAATTTGAAGTCCTCGCCCAGTACTACAAAGATCCTAAGTTGCCTAGCAACGTTAAGTGGACAGGATTCCTTACAGATACAGAAATGGGTGAATATTGAATCGAGCTCAGACTTTGCGTGTTAGCCCTCGGTCATTCGTGTGACGTGTATAGTTTGTTAGGAAAGTTCAAAGATCTTGTGCTTTTTTTTAAGTACCTTAGGAGCCACGAAACTTTATTTCACCGCTCAATTTAAACCCCCCAGCCCCCCAGCATTTTCCTCTTTTACTTCAGCGACCATGTATCCGTCCTCAAGGATTAGTTATGCCACTAAATATTTCCTGCGTATTTTTCTGATTCTCTTATTTTCTATCTTGTCTTATCTCCCTCCCCCCCCCCCCCCCCCCCCCCCCTCCCCCCACACAACCATGTAGTCTTTACAAGACGTGGACTGGAGAAGACTCCCACATACACAGTGCCTGCTATGGAGACATTTCAAATGAGTAGGCCTGGGGCTGGTTCAGAAGAGCTTGAACAAGACGAAGAGGTCTTTCTGGAGCGAATCAAGCAACGCATGCGTCGGAAACTAACCGAGCAACGAATTTTATCCAAGCCGTGCTTTCAAGATTTTGACAAGTGAGTTTATTGTTCCACGCTCGTCTCACTTGAGTGTGGTAAACATCTTTCTTTTAATTAATACGACTTGAAAACATGAATTTAAGAGACTAAAGTTGTATGCTCAAATGCGACCAAAATCTGTCCCTTTGATCAAATGTAAACATACAAGAGCTTGAAATAGAATATTCCCAAAAAATATGTATACAGCTCGGTCGTTAATCAGCATCAAGTTTATCATTGACAATTATTTACCGAAGTAGA